GTGTGTGTGTGTGTGTGTGTTGCATTTGTGCTGATAAATAAATAAAGGGAGACTAGTATAGATCTATTTCAAGCTATTTAGCTCTCATCAGCTAGCCATACCCTTACTGGGAATCGAACCTGAGCTGTATTACATATTAGGCAGTTGTGTTAGCCACTAAGCCACAAGATCCCCACCTTTATCAGGAATATATATATCAAGAATTACCAGAAGTACAGGCAGGATTTTGAAGAGGCTGAGGAAATAGAGACCAAATTGCCAATGTATGCGGGATCATGGAGAAAGCTAGGGAGTTCCAGAAAAAAAATCTATTTTGCTTCGTTGACTATGCTAAAGCCTTTGATTGTGTAGATCACAACAAATTGTGGCAAGTTCTTAAAAAGATGGGAGTACCAGATCATTTTATTTGTCTCTTGAGAAACCTATATGTGGGTCAAGAAGCAACAGTGAGAATTGGACCTAGAACCACTGATTGGTTCAAAATTGTGAAAGGGGCCCAGCAAGGCTGTATACTGTCACCCTGCCTTTTAACTTATACGCAGAGCACATCATGAGAAAGGCGGGGCTAGATGAATCAAAAGTTGGAATTAAGATTGCTGGGAGAAATATCAACAACTTCAGATATGCAGATGATGGCACTCTAATGGCAGAAAGTGAGGAGGAACTAAAGAGCTTCTTTATGGCTCTTTAGTTCCTTTAGTATAGATGCGGGTGAAAGAGAGTGCAAAGATTGGCTTGAAACTCAACATTAAGAAAACTAAGATCATGGCATTTGACCCTTTCAATTCCTGGCAAATAGATGGGGAAGAAGTGGAGGTAGTGATAGATTTTATTTTCCTGGGCTCCAAGTTCACCGCAGATGGGAACTGCAGCCAAGAAATTAAAAGATGCTTCTCCTGGGTAAGAAAGCTATGGAAAATCTAGACTGCATACTAAAAAGCAGAAATATCATTCTGCCAAGAAAAGTGCATATACCGTATTTTTTGGAGTATAAGATACACCTTTTTCCCTCAAAAAAGAGGGTGAAAATCTGGGTGTGTATTATACACTGAATACAGCATTTTTTTGCCTCCTGAAACCCCGCCCCCTTCGCAACAATGGCCATGCATAGCCTTTAGGAGGCTTATAGAGTGCTCCTGGGGAATGGGGGGGTTTAAAAATGAGCAAGAAACAGCCCATTTTTTTTGCAAAAACAAGCCCATTTGTTATAAAAAAAAGGGGCATACATAGCCTTTAGGTGGCTTTCAGAGTGCTCCTGGGGGCTGGAGGGTATAAGTATAATCTTTATTGTCATTGTACTTAAATACAACGAAATTGGTTAGGGCAGAAATGAGCAAAAAATGGGCCCACCACTCACGCGGAACCATCTCTCCTCCCACATCAGTCCGCATAGCCAGAAAGTTGGGGAACTCTGCATTAACTCATCCAACTGATGATCAATCAGATGACCTAAGGAAGAGGGATAAGCCTCTTGGCCCTTCTGAGTCTGACTCGAATGGATTATTCATAAAAGACAGCCACCGGACAAGAAACCAAATATGCAGTGGTCTATTTTAGGGCTAATAATGAGATACGCCTTTTGCTGTCCTTCTCTTTACTGTGTCAGTTTTATGAAGCTTGTTGAATATTTCAGTCAGGTTATATCTCATGTTTAACATTAGGATTACAACTGATAAAATTCTATCAACAATACATTCATGAGGGTACGAATTAAGGTGGATGGAAAAGGAAGCCACTTGTTCATCTAGTAAACCGCTTTGCCTCTTTCTCACATCGGGAAGAAATTTCCTACATTTTTGATGATGCCATGTGCCTCAACTGATAATGTGAACTTCCTGCCTTCTGGTCCTTTTGCATCATTCTCTATGGGGAGAAAGCTGTAAAAACAATTGTTTGCCTCTCTTACCTTTATAAGAAAATAAATTTTTAAGAGTTCATATCACTCTTTTTTTCTTTAATTAATTACCCCCTCAGAATGAAAGGACACGGCCCCGAAATTATCACAGAGAAAACTTTCTGTGCTAAAAGAGAAACATTTGAAATGATTTGGAGGTTCTGATCAGTTCCTCTGAACTTCTTCATTCGGGACATTACCTGCCATGGCTCTTTAGTGATGGAATTCCTTCTTTTTATTTGTGCTGTCATTCTGGAATCGAACTGGGATGAATCCATGGATTGCAAAGCATGAGCCATAGTGTAAACTGCAGTGTAGAGGCTGTAGCTATGACTAGTCATTGTGGTTTCGAAAACAGAACCAGGCAGTGTCTCCACCTTCTCTTCCCCAGTGCAGACATTTTCCTCCATCTTGTCCTCTCTTGAAGAAGAGAAGTGACAGTTGAAGGCCTGTTGCCAAAAGTCCTTGATGAACCCATCTCCATTTTCCTCATTTGGGTTTCTTCTTTTAAGGAATGTTTGAAATCCCATCACATCCGTTGAATGAAGGGCGACCAAGAGAGCACCATGGATAATATCAACCTCAAAGTCTTTGAGAAAGGGAACTGATGTGAATTCCATCTGGGCTGTCATAATCCAGACTTTGCTCTTGGTTTTGATGGGTAGGTTTTCAAATTCTGAAACGCGGGGGAACATCCTCAAAAAGATCATAGTGTGAATTTCTCCATGTATGAGCACTACGTTGGCTGTGCTATCACTAATTATCTTGTATATTCTGATCCATTTATTCACCATTTCATCAACACCAGAGGCAAAATATAAGGTAGGCAAAGTTTCTATAAAATCAAAGCAGATGCCATTCTTGGAAAACTTGGGCAGTATAGTGTGTACAAATCTCAATCCATTCTCATCATCTATAAAAATAACTCCAACCCAGATCCACCTGAAAAGAAGCAGCAGTTGTTGGATTCCCAAATATTGATGCTCCCTACTAGGGAACATCCGTAAGGAAAACACACTTTGGGATGGGTCATTTATTACTGGAGCAGAACCATAAGTGAACTGAAACGAAAGGAAATAAACAAGGGAAGACTTAATTCCCAATCTCTATCCGAAATCAGAAAAAATATAATACCCCAAATTGCAGGAAATAAATGGTTTTATTTATGGAATCCAGGTACAAGAGACTCATTCAGTGGCTTAATGACACTGGAGATGATCTTATCTCCAGTGGTTTGAGTCTTAGCTCTACATGATGGGATGAGCTCCCATCACTTGCCTCAGCTTCTGCCCACCTTTCAGTTCGAAAGTGTTGTATGCGAGTAGATAAATAAGTAGCACTTTGGTGGGGAAGACGAGCTATGCTCTGTGTAGGCAGTCAAATTCCTGATGGTTCTGAATTTTCCCAGTTGCAACATCTGCCTATGAGGCAGCTCTGAGAAGGGAGGGGACCTTGAATGATGCTGTACGAAGAGGCATCTCTCCGGTGTACAGCCAGCTCACCCTAATGTGGCTCACCTTGGACATCATACAAACATTTCCTATAACGGGACTGATAGCTTGGCAACCCAAACTACACAAAATACATTGTGGTCTCCTAGCTACTGTAACACCACCACCCACAATTTCCGCTACTGGTTTGGCGAACTGGTACGAACTGGCTGAATACAACCTCTGATATGATTCCCTTTTGTGACCTTCTGACAAGCAAGATCAATGGGGAAACCAGATCGACTTTACAACTGTGTTACTAAATTAAGAACTGCAGTGATTCACTTAACAAATATGGTGAGAAAGGTAAAATGGAGCAAACTCACTTAACAAATTTCTCACTTAACAATAAAAATTTGGGAGGAAGTTCTCCAGGAAGTTCTCCAGGAAGTTCTCCAGGAAGTTCTCCAGCTGGACAACAGGAAGTTCTCCAGCTGGACGAACGTGGGGTGTGGGGGTTCTTAAGAGTCTCACATGAACCTTGTCTGACAATCCAATTCCGAGATTCTTTTGAATCTGAACCCTCACTAGAGGTGTGGGTGAAGAAGGGCAGCGTCTCATCAGACCCTGGGGGAAGCAACTGATCCCTTGTTGGTTAAAGATTTGCCTATGAATTGGAGTCAGGGTAGCAGCCAGTAACATGGCTGACAAGATGTTGACTTTTTGTCAAGCTAATTTAGCAGGCGGAGACCGGGACAGATGAAAGGGCTGGTAAGAGAATTTATCTAACCCACAACTATAAATTAAATCTGAAAAAGGCAAAGAAATCTTGAGAACATAAATAATACTGATCATCAGATCAGGACTTTTTTTTCCTAAAGAAAGGAAGAAAGGAAGGTGGAGGGTTGTAACACCAGCCCTCCCAGAAGTTCTTTGTTTAAAATGCTTTTGAATAGAAGAATAGAAAGCAGAGAAGTGACAAATCCACTCAATTATAAACACTACATTTATTTTGTTTGAACTCCTTCCAGCTAATATAACAAAAAAAGAGTACTTCCTCTTACTGATATCAAACAACTTAACCTTGACGGAGTAGGAAGTTTTAATTAACCAACTGCTATAAATCAGAATTTGGAAAAGCAGAGGCAGAGAAAAATTTTCAACTGATTACAAGCCAATTATAAGTGATTTATTTTGAGCAGTGATTGAAGCAAAGTAGATGGATTAATTAAACTAAAGGTGGACCAGAATTTTGAAATAAGATTTGTATAACTAACTGAAATCTTGAAACTGGATATCAAGGAAGAATAAAAGACTAAGATGGCCCCCATTGCTTTTTTCCACAGCAATTGAAGTAGATAAATCTAAGATGGACTACAACTCTGAAGCAAGGATTGTATAACTAACTATAACTTTGAAACTGAAAATTATGGAAAACTGGGAATTAGAAGAACTATGTGAAATTATAAAAATATGCATAAATCAATAAAATTAAGCTTAAATAGAATTCTGAACCCAGGGGAGCAGAGATCTAAAGAAGAATTAAAAAAAGAAGAAGGGGGCAAGACGATGAAGGGGAAGAAATGGAGGGAAATAAAAAGCAGACAAAAAAAACCCATTAGTTTTGGCATTGGTATAGGGAAAATGATAAAAAAGGAGATGTCCCAACAAAAGGGGGGGAAATGCACATAAAAGTGGTCTTGAAGATTGTTAATAGTATAAAGAAAATTGAAGTAGGAGACTATGCCCCAACAAAGAGAAATAAAAAATATTTGAGTGAGGGCAATTTGGGGAAAATTGTTGTGAGTGTTAAAACAAAGAAAAGGGGGAAGACAGGAACAGAGAAATGGGACAAAAGACTTACTAGGGAAAAATCAGATATCTAGATATGGGAAAATATAAATTAAGATAAGGGTTTTATTCTTAAAGATGAAAATAAAATGAAAGGATGACAAAGAGAAGAAAGGAGGGAGGGAGGGAGGGGGAGGAGAGAGAGGGGGAAGAAAGTGATGGATAAGGATAAATATGGTGTATGGAGAGCAGAAGAGCTAAATAACTGTGTTTTGGGAGTTGGTGGTAAGATGAATTGTTGTAAACACTTAATAATACAAAATGATGTTGGCTATGTAATAGTATACATGCGATTATATGTTGTGAAAATGGAAAAATAAAAAAAATTGCAAGAAAAATTTTTGGGTGGCTCAATTGTGGTTGCAAGTTGAGGACTAACCGCATTTATTTACATCCCTGGTTAGGATTTTAAATACTTTAAGCAACATTTTTTTCTCTATTAAAGTTTGTCCAGTACAATTCGGACATTGATATTTCAAGGAGTGTATCTGCAGACCAGAATGAAAATCAAGATTTTCAAGTGTGTATGTTGCATCTCGCAAAGAAATAATAGAACTGTAGTGGCACGGTGGTTAGAATGCAGTACTGCAAGCTACTTCTGCCAGCTGCCAGCAGCTGGTTCAGCATTTCAAATCTCATTGGATAAGGTTGAGTCAGCCTTCCAGCCTTCTGAGGTGAGTAAAATGAGGACCCAGATTGTTGGGGGCAATATGCTGACTCTATAAACTGCTTAGGGAAGACTGTAAAGCAATGTGAAGCAGTATATGTCCGTGCTATTGCTATCTGACCTCACTGTGATATGACTACCAAGTGAAGATCAGATTAATTAATCAAGCTTTTGATTCTTCAAGCTATCCTTATACTTAACCCATTGCTCAAAATTATGAAGTTCTACTGATATAATTCATAGATTGTATCACTTTTACATTCAATATTCAACTATTTTTATACATTCTATCCCACACTATCTAGTGATGCTTAATGTTTCACAGTATTGTGATACCCACACAAAACTATATTCAAAACCTAAGGGACATATTGTGGGTTTATTCAACAGCCAGGTTCTGTCTTTTCAGCTTACCTGAGGTACCTTGTAGATGCTCAGAATGGTTGCCATAAAAAACCCCACATCTGAATCGGGTCCTCCAATGACTGCCATAGCATTATCTTTAGTATCACACTTGTAGTTTGGGATAAAGTTGTTCCACGTGGAGAGAAGCTCCAGGGAAGCAAGTAAAGTACCACTTGGAAGAAAATGGCTGTTATAGATGTGGAAGCCCAGGGAAGTATTGGGTAATATATGAGGATTTTCATTGATCTCCATCACAGCAAATACGAAGGCCAGGGTATGTTGATAGATCTGAGTCACAAATCTGCAGTGTAATTTACAAGCTGAATGAGCGCAGAGATTTGCTAATTTTTCACCCACAGTAAATACTTAACAATCACAGATGTCTTAAACAATTAAAACACACTTTAACAGTGAAGTTATATGGAATTAGAAGTTAGAACTGGACTCATATTCTTATCTGGAGTGTTGAAAGAACAACTTTCTATTGTTTTACTTTATTTCCATTCACCTCTGCACCTTAGAAGGAAGGCTTCTCAAGTATCTATATGTCTTCAAAGATCTTTGAAGATATATAGACACTTCAACATGATATGTGCAACTGTTACTTGGTGGACAAATAATCAGTAACATCTGATGGATTTTAAGAAGATTCTCAACTAGACAACATCTTAAATCTAGTAGACAGAAGGTTTTGATGTGGGACACTTTTGGACTTCCTAGTGTGAAATATTATGTGGAGTGAGCAGGAGGATAAATACTCCAATAGGAATATTCAATACTCATAGAAAACTAGGCAAAGATAGCTACCAGCACCACCACTGCAAAATCATTCCTAGTACTTATGCTTTACTAGTACATGCTGGCAAAGAGTGCACCATAAAATATTATGTCCACCTAATAAATCCCATTAGCATATGTGAAAGAGGAAGGAAATGAAACACATAATCCAGAATAGGAAATATCAAAACTTTTCAAATACATTAAAATTGAATATAGTCTCAATAAGTAATAGGTCAAGGCAAATTCTCTGTAGTGAATGTTCTTTCACTAATTTGATATACAGGAAATTTTTATTTCACAAGTGGTTTTTATAGTAGCAGTTATTTGTTATTTTGTTCAATAGCAATAGCAGTTAGACTTATATACCGCTTCATAGGGCTTTCAACCCTCTCTAAGTGGTTTACAGAGTCAGCATATTGCCCCCAACAACAATCCGGGTCCTCATTTTACCCACCTCGGTAGGATGGAAGGCTGAGTCAACCCTGAGCCGGTGAGATCTGAACAGCCGAACTGTAGAACTGCAGTCAGCTGAAGTAGCCTGTAGTGCTGCATTTAACCACTGCGTCACCTCAGCTCCTTCAGTTGGTAAGTGGAATAGAATAAAATAACAGAGTTAGAAGGGAACTTGGATGTCATCTAGTTCAACCCCCTGTTCAGGCAGGAAACCCTATACCAATTCAGGCAAATAGTTGTCCAATCTCCTTTAAAACTTCCAGTGTTGGTGTTGGAGTGTTGGGGCATTCACAACTTCTGGAGGAAAGCTGTTCCACTGATTAATTGTTTTAACTGTCAGGAAATTTATCCTTAGTTCTAAGTGGCTTCTCTCCTTGATTAGTTTCCACCTGTTGCTTCTTGTCCTACCCTCAGGTGCTTTGGAGAACATCTTGACTCCCTCTTCTTTGTGGCATTCCCTGAGATATTGGAACACTGCTATCATGTCTCCCCTAGTCAGTCGTGGGATTCAAATAATTTAACAACTGGTTCTCTGCTCTAATGATTTCTCCCAACAACCAGTTCAACAAACTGCTCAGAAAATTAACAACTGGTTCTCCCGAAGTGGTGCAAACTGGCTGAATCCCACCACTGCCCCTAGTCCTTCTTTCATTAAACTAGACATACCCAATTCCAGCAATCATTTTTTTTAAGTTTTAGCCTCCAGTCCCTTAATCATCTTCATTGCTCTGCACTCTTTCAAGAGTCTGTCTGACTCTTTGCAACCCATGGATCATAGCATGCCAGTTACTCCGTCCTCCACTATCTCCCTTTTCCCAAACTCATGCCCACTGGATCAGTGACACTACCTAACCATCTCATGCTCTGCTATCTCCTTCTCCTTTGGCCTTCAATCTTTCCCAACACCAGGGTCTTTTCCAACGAGAGTAGCAGTTACGCATAACAGTTATAAAAATATTGTCATGCTTATAGACTGAATGAATGAAGGACTTAATATACAAACAATGAATATAACAAGCAGATTGATTGTGATCTAATGGAATTGATGATAATCTATCGGGTCAGGGAAAACTGAATGTGTATTTGGTAGATTGCGAGAAATAACTTCTATAGCAAAATTGGGGCATTCTTATTGAAGAGACGGAGGGAGGGAGGGATAGTAGAAGCTTGGAGTTGACTCCTATTGCAAAGAAAGCGTGAGAATTTTTCTCATTCATGCTTTCACAATGCAATTATATTCCAAGCACCACTTGTTTGAGATAATGCAATTTGAAACGAGAAAGTTCCTTATGGAAAATGCTAGTATTAACTAAACTGTTAACTTACCCAATCTCACCCAGGAGGTTGTGAGATGGATGCTGGTTGTAGGTCACAGGGTTGGAAAATGTGAAGACTTGAGAAATTATGCCAGAAATGCTCAGGTGCCCTGGCTGATAATACTGATGACTTATTGGCAGAGGGTAAAGGATATGGCACATAGGACTCGGGACATTGGACACAGTTCGAGGCAGTAGAAGTAATATCAGGAACACAAAGGGTGGCCATAAGTAGAAACATGTTCTGCACATCAGTTCCTGTCTCAAGTGTGCTTAAGAAGTTGAGGATGAATTTAGTGCCCACTTGGCACTAAGGATCTTCAGGGGAAGTCACCACACAATCGGTGTTGGGTCCCTTTCTTGAATTGCAAAATATTGTTTAGTAACATTCTTTGATCTTGGTTCTTTTTTGCCTAGATGTATTAGTTATCCTTTGGGAAATGAAATAGAAGTCACCTGTGTCAGGTTGTTAACTACAGGGGAGATGATTGCCTTTACAAAATTATGGGTTCTTGGTAATATCGTAGAAGAAAACAACTTAATTGCATACTTCAACAAGATGTTTCTTTTCTTTTCACTTTATTAGACTATCAAGAGGCCAGGAATATTTTAGGATCATTTTATTTAGCACAAATACTTTCTAATGTTCCAGTAGTACCCTTTCCTAAATTGAGGGCCCTTCAGACACTCACTTTTGCCCTGGACATCTTACTGCTTGACTACTGCCATGCGCTGTACTTGGGATTGTCCTTGAAGATCATCAGGAAGCTTCAGCTGGTCCAGAATGCAGCAATGTAGACAGGGATGAGCATCCCTCAGAATGCCTCATTTCATTCATTCATTTCATTTATTATATTTATATGCCGCCCTTTCCCCCCGAAGGGGACTCAGGGCGGCTAACAAATCAAATCAGGGAAGGGGGGGTACAGACAAAAAATAAAAAAATGAAACATAACAATACATAATTTAAAACACACAACAGTCATACCATTCCAGATGGGGGGGCAACAGCTCTTA